TAGATCCATACAGTATACGCATTTTTATTATACTAATCACATGTGCATGTTTGACGGGCCACACTTTAAAATACAGTATGGTGTTTTACTTTTCTGAATATTAAAAACTGATTTTTCTTTTTCACGTTTTATCAGAGTGTATGGCATCATATCTAAAGTAACAACTGTTCCTTAGCACTATGTTTTGAATCTGTATTAATCTATTTACTCTTTGCTTATGGCTTTTATTAACATTATTGTGTGTGCATTAGCAGTCCTATGCTTCTTAGGGAAAAAAAATCCAAGAAGGGTTTCATTTAGAATTCATTTCCTATAGGTTAATGGAAAGCAAGAAGTATAAACATAAAAACAAATATCCCTTTGGACCCTATTTGATTCTGCCCTGATAGTATAACTTCTGCCAAAAATGCTTTTATTTCTGGTCTACCTCATTCTTCAGATAATACATAAGACATCTGTCACTTCAGAGAGACTTCTTTAAGTATATAGGTATGTGTTGAATCACAATACACTGTTTATTTCTTTCAAAGAGAGTTAAACTTTGTGAGTCTTAGTTTGATTTATTGCTTTTGGTTATTAACAAGATCCCCGGATGGCAGAATCCATGTCTGTTTTATTCACTATCACAGAAGAAGCCCAGTGCAAACTTTCTGCTCAGATGTCAGGCCTGTAAGAGATGGAGAGAGTCAAGCATAGGTCCCACTAACTGATAACCTGAAGGACGAGAAACCAAGGGGAGGTGAGCGTGGGGAGAGAGGGGAAAGTCTCTTGCTTAGCAATCTGATCGCTCAAAGGAGAAAGTTGAGGGGAGGTTTGTGCAGGGAATGGACACATCAGGGTGACCAAAGCAAGGGTCATGGAAGCAGGATGACAGAGAGGAGCCTGTGGGGATTTATGAGCCCCAGACTTGCAGTTCGTTTAGGCTAGGATGAGATGAAATTCACTGAAAGCACAATATCAGGATCACTTGACTAATTGTGGTGTGATTTGGTGGGAGATACTGGAGCATAAACATAGCCAAAATGGAAATCTGCCAAATGCATTTCTGAAATAACCTAAAAGATGATCTTACTATTGTGAATATAGGTATTTTGAAGTTGTAGGCTTTTGATACGGGGAGGCAGTGGCTCTGGATTCAAATTTCCTTAATTCCCAAACTGGGTCGGCCCCTTCAAAGTGTATGACTTGGGCTGGTTACGTTAGATCCCTAAGCCTTGGTTTCTTCTAGGATGGTGATAATAGCACTGAATATTTCACTGAATAATATGAATATGATATAGAAATTGATTTTACCTTTATTACATGAAATGAAGAGCTTTTTGGTAAATCTCATTTATCTGTTGCTATCCTTGTTTTTTTTTTAAGTATACCATCTCTCTTTTAAAAGAGAGAAAAGAAACTGAAGAAAAATGATACAGTAGTCCAAAGTGACATATAAGTGCCTTGTTTAGCACTGAAGAAAACTGTCACCTTGCCTAAGAGACAGCCTGGGCCAGCCAGTCTGCGGCATTTTTCCATTTAATGGTCACAAGAACTAACTGAAGTACAATGATATTTCTGTCTCCCCTTACAGATAAGGATAATGAGTCAAAGGCAATTTATGTAATTTGTCCAAGATCCATCTATGTGGGAAGTGACAGAATCAGAGTTTGAATCAGTATAATCTGGAACTCAATGTCTTATACATTAAACTTCTCTTTCGTGAAAAATAATGTTTAGTAGTATTATTTATAGAGCAGACCCATCATATTTCATTTATTTGGTTATGTACGACATTAAAAATACTTGTAGTCATCAGGGTAGCCTGATTGTATTAACATTTTAATGCTTTATTGAAGTGTAGTAGATACAAAATATTGCACATATTTAATGTGTATAATTTGATGAGTTAGATTGTAGACATGCACCTGTCAGCCCATCACCACAATCAAAGTAATAAATACATCCACCACCTTCAAGAGTTTCCTTGTGCCCCCTCCCTCCTTTTTGTGGTGAGGGCAATGCAAAATTCAGAGTAAGAAACCAAAGAGTCAATAGCATTAAAATATTTTCTCATGGATCAAAGGCTTTGTGCTACAACCACTGACAAATACTTTCACAGTCATTGAAATAAAACATGAGGAACATGCACATATGTATAGGGAAATGAGTGCTTTAATAGATACACATAAGGATTCAATATCCCCATTTACACTTGCTTGAGAAACACTTTAGAACAGGAAAAACTATTCAAGTTCAAGGACTGAATGATTAAACCCAACTCAATTTTGTTTAGTCAGATATGAAAAAATGCATAGTTAATTGGTAGGCAAGGTCTCCACATACCAGAATCCAATTATAGAGTCTTCAAAACAATAGTGAAATAAAAGTTAATGAAACATTTTAAAGACATTATAATTTTATGGTACTGATTTATTTTGAAAAATGGCAAGGATAAATTTAAATTTAATATGCTAAAATAAGTTTTCTGTTTTTATTTTGGAATTCCAGCTGAAGGAAATATCAGAAATATCATTAAATAGTGAACAATGAATATATACATACACACACACACACGTATAGGTATAATTATATGTGAACATATACATAAAATACATGGTGTGCTTCTAAAAGTTCATTTTCTTTTTTAATATTTTTCTCGGTTTACTAATGGTCCTAGAAATTTGGCCAGCTATATTATCATTGCCCTCTGAATTGCAGTAAATAAATGTAGGGAACAATTGCTCCAAATCAGCACTAATTCAAATGCACTTGGACATGTACCAAGGCTAACAAAAATAATTACAGCCATGAATCTATATTATTATAAGTGTTATAATAAGAGTGAATTGGTTTGGCACCTCTACAGAACACTTGTTAAAATGTGTTTTTTTCTTACAACTCGAAAGTGATATACATTTAATATTATGTGTTTTTTTTTTTCAGTAAAGACTTATTTTGTAAGTTAGCATATAAAGATTTATTCTGGGGGCGCCTGGATGGCTCAGTCGGTTAAGCGGCCGACTCTTGATTTTGACTCGGGTCACGATCTCACGGTCCTGGGATCAAGCCCCACACCAGGATCCGTGCCCAGAGGGCAGTCTGCTTGAGAATTCTCTCTCTCCCTCTTCTTCTGCCCCTCCCCCATTTGTATTCTCCTTCTCTCTAAAATAAATAAATAAACCTTAAAGAGAAAAAAACTCTCATTTTTTAAGTTGTTAGTATAATGAAACCCCTTCAGTTGGATTAAATGGATGGTTCGTAAGGAGACAGTTTATGATCTGTAACTATATGAAAGCAAATAAAATATGAGAGGAATTAATGTCATGTACATTAAAATGTTATTTATACCAGTAAATCTTATTTGATAGTAAAAATGGGTAATCTTATACAACCACAGAACTTTATTAATTTGCAGATTAACCTGCATGTTTTTTTCTATTTTTTATTATGTTTTGTTAATCACCATACATTACATCTTTAGTTTTTGATGTAGTATACCATGATTCATTGTTTGCATATAACACCCGGTGCTCCATGCAGAACGTGCCCTCTTTAATACCCATCCCCAGGCTAACCCATCCCCCCAACCCCCTCCCCTCTAGAACCCTCAGTTTGTTTTTCAGAGTCCATAGTCTCTCATGGTTCGTCTCCCCCTCCAATTTCCCCCCCTTCATTCGTCCCTGCATGTTTTAAGTGTTTATTTTAAAGAAAAGGGTCTACTTGCTGTCATCGATATAGCTAAGTTGAATAAAGTAATGGCTATTACATACTGATAAATAGGTCTGCTTTTACCAGTTAGTCTTTGTTATTTATATGGAAAGTGGCTTGTAATTCCTTTATAAAGCTTTGAAATTGCTAAGACTCCTCAGAGTTATCTATGCCGGGAAGCCTCTTCATTTCTAGGAGACAGTTCATCACTTCTTGAGCAGTTCTCCTTACAGTACCTCCTACATACCTTAGCAACTTAGCACTGACTTGACACATAATATGTACTAAAAAAGATTGATGGAATAAATAAATATATTTTACAGTGTGAATATGTATTTTTAATTTTTATGTGCTTGTCTCATCCACTGAACTACAAAATCTTTAAGACAAACACCATGTCTTATTCATAATATATTTTCTTAAATTTATCATAATATTAACCATGGGATGAGAATATTTCACGTATCAGTCTGATGTCATTTTGACTGCAAGTGACAGAAAACTCAACAACCACACCTTAAATAAAGTTAGGTAATCATTCTCACATGGCAAGAAAACCAGAGGTATGCATTCTAGATTTCATGCCACAACTCAATCATTAAATCAGGCTCTTTTCCTCTTCCTCTTCCACCATTTTAAATATTATATGGTGGCTGTTACACTTGCCTTCTTCCAGAATCATGTCTTGGTTTAGGCAGGAAGAAAGCAGAAGAAAAGAGGTTCTTATCTTGTGATTTTTTTCATGTTTTTTAGCTGGGAAACTTTCCCAACAGATTTCCCCTGAAATCTCAACCAGAAACAGTTCCTGTGCTGCCTTGAGACTAGTGAATGGTCAGTGAAGTGGAGGCCATCGTGGATGAGTTAGATCAATTAGGATTTAGCCCCTGGGATTAGAATAGGGGCTTATCCTCCCAGAGATCAGTAGATTCCGCCTTCCACTTAAACAGGTTGTGCTTGAGTTAGCAGGGAAAAGGGGATCACTGAGTAGTTAATGGACAATATATATTATAGTAAATATTACCTGAAAAGAATTGGATTTGTTATATGTCATATGCTATCCCCAGTTGCATCTTTATATTCTTATTTGTATTCATTTGGCAAAATGTATTATCAATTTCTGGTTTTTTGAGGATAGTTACAAATTCATAAGTTCTTCCATACTTTTAGTTACAGTGGAAAGGAAAATATGCAATATTTAAAGATACATTGTTTTTGTCAACCTTGTTTTTCAAATGTAGGTTTTGCTGTTATAATTGGAAGGGAACCTCAAATGTTAATTATGTTCTCTGTCTTTTCTTCAACCTGAAAAGATAAATATGAATTTAGATTCCATCCATCAGTTAACTGAGGAAACACAAATCATCCAGATGCCACAGTCATCAATAAAACCACCTTGTGACACGGTAGCACCTGCTTCCCCCCCCAGGGACACTTGTCATTCCTGTTTGCCACTTCAGGGGCTGCAATCACATGCCGCTCACAACGTCTATGTGCACTCATGCAACACCAATGAGTGGAATATTTGTGAAGAGCTTCTCCTTCGGGAACTTGAGGAAGTCAAAGCCAGAGCTGCCCAGATGGAGAAGACCATGCGGTGGTGGTCAGACTGCACTGCCAACTGGAGAGAAAAGTGGAGCAAAGTTCGGGCTGAAAGGAACAGCGCCAGGGAGGAGGGAAGACAGCTCAGAATAAAATTAGAGATGACAATGAAAGAATTGAGTGCATTGAAAAAGAAACAAAGTTTGCCACATCAAAAGGTGTTAGAAACCACCTGGGACCTGAAGCATCCTAGTTTCATAAAAGTGCCTTCCGCACCAGGAGACCAGTTTCAAATTGGTTCACAGACATGTAAGTCTATCAGAGAATGTCTGGTGAGAAGAGAATTTCCTACAAAGGACAATGCAGATAGGAAGGTAAGAGAAGAACTTGGCAGAAGAATCCAGAGATCATGATTGTATTTGAACGCTGTGTACGGTATTGGGGAGGAAAGGGAAAGTGGCAAACCCAGTGGTGACTGGGTTTGCTTGGGCTGCCATAACTACGTACCACAGACTGGGTGGCTTCAGCAACAGAAATTTATTTTCTCATAGTTCTAGAGGCTCTAAGTGTGAGATCAAGGTGTTGGCAGGTTTGGTTTCTCTGGAGACCTCTCCTTGGCCTAGAAATGGTCATCTTCACCCTGTATCTTCACATCATCTTTTCTCTGTGTTTATCTCCAAATTTCCTTGTAAAGAAACCATCTCTAGGCCCACCATCATGACCTCATTTTAACTGGATGACCTCTCTAAAGACCCTACATCAAATACAGTGTCATTCTAAGGTACTGGGGGCAGGGTAAGACACAATTCAGTAGCCCATATTATTGATCTTAGTAATAGTGTTAAGAAAAAGTAACTCAGCATTTTTTATGTGAAAATAAATTATTTAGAGAGATTTCTCTCCATTTACCCTAATTATGACAATAATAATAAATTATTCTTACAGTAGTTTAAACATTTCCCAAGGTTTGGGACTTTCGCCTCACAATTAATTCCTGTAAAATAGGTACCATTGCCAAATACCTTTATGGAATGCTTCACATTATCCACTCTTGGAATTTCTTGGTATTCTTGGAATCTTGAAGTTTTTGAGAATTCTGCACAAAATAAACTTTTTAAAAACTTTATTTTATATAGCAGTTCGTAATCTTATTTTTCCATTTTTTTAATCTGGTAAATACTATTAACAGCCCATGGAACATACTTTCAGAAACTTTAGGAATTCATTTTATCTCTTTAAATAATATCAGTTATTATTGTTACTCCTTTCTATTTAATTCCACCTCTAAAAGTATAAAGCATATCTTGCTTCTCTATAATTCCATCTAAAATTTTAAGTCTTTCTATGGTGTATGGGATTTATAATCAATATAACCTAGATTCCATTGTAAATGAAAAATTTCAAAGACTGAAATGTATTTCACTATAATGTAGGACATAGAAGAAAAAAAAATCTTGAGGAATGCAAGTTAAAGTTCAGTCATATACCTCTTAAAGACTGATAAAGAAATGAAAATAGGAATTTGATGCTGAATCATAACATCTTCCAAAAATATGTTTTCTTCATGATTTTTCTGCACTAGACTTAAAAAAATTAACAATAATTGTTTTTTTTTTCTTTTCAGGAAGAAGTTTTGATTATTGACCAGTTAAGATTAAATGAGGAGATGAAACTCAATCTTAACTGTCCTGATTCATTCAAGAATAGTGGTTCTGACAACTGTACACTGAAATCTTCATTAAGACTGCAGGCAATGACCCTGCCTTTGGAGAGTGAAGTGCCTGAAATTTCAGCTTTGCAGGTGCATCTGGATGAGTTCCAAAAAATTTTATGGAAAGAAAGAGAGTAAGTGTTAATCATTGTCTCTTTTAACCAAGTCTGATTTTCAAACTTATTTAAGCTAAGGCTAACAAACAGGCCATTTGATAATTAACCCATGATTAGTCATTAAGTACTAATATTTAAAAAATGAGTGTGATTTATATTCATTTTTTGAATTTTTTAAAATATCAAATATTTCATATGTAAATATTAAATAACACACTACTGTGCAGGCAGTGGGCCAAATAGGAAATCCAACAGCAAATCAAAATATGTCTCAATACATAAGAAAAAGAAAACACAATACTCTAAAATCCGTCGGATGCAGCAAAAGCAGAAGTTAGAATGAAATTTATGCTATAAATGCTTGTATTAAGAAAAAAGTTCAAATAAACAATGTTACACCACAAGGAACTAGAAAAAGAAGGAACTTAGCTGAAATTTAGTAGAGGAAGAAAATAACAAAGAAAAATCAGAATTAAATAAAATAGAGACTAGAATAAACAATAACAACATTGAAAAGTAGTGACCAATTTTTCAAAAAAATAAAATAAAAAACAAAATTGACAACACTTTAAGGAAAAAGAGAAGATTCAAAAACCAAAGCGAAATGGAGGAGAAAATTATACAACAGATAACCACAGAAATATAGAACGTGATAACATGTTACCATAAGCAAACTTAGAAAAAAAAAAAACCAGATAATTCCTACAAATGCACAAATTACCAATATTGAATCATGAATTTTGAATCCATGAAGTAAGAAATCTCCTTAGACCAATAACAAGAATGAAAGTTGAATTAGGAATCAAAAATCTCCCAACACAGAAAAGCCAAAGACCACACGGTTTCATTGGTGAATTCTACCAAAAATTAATGACAGTTTTATCAAAATCTTACAAATTTTACAAATAATTCCCCTAGGAATAGAGGAAATATGTTCAAAATCATTCCATGAGGCCATTACTACCCTGATACCAATGCAGGACAAAAACAATACAAGAACAAAAAATTCTAGTTTGCCCAATATAAGTATTGCTACTGTGACTTTCTTTTGACATACATTTGCATAATAAATATTTCTCCATCCCATCACTTTCAACCTGCAGGTGTCTTTAGGTCTAAAATGGGTCTCTTATAGGCAGCATATAGATGGGTTTTGTTTTTTTAATCTATTTTGACACCCTGTGTCATTTGATTGGAGCTTTTATTCCATTTACATTGAAAGTTATTGATAGATATGTATTTATTGCCATTTGGACCCTTACAACAGAGATGAAAGAATTAAAAAAGAATCAGAGTTGAAGAATGTAATAAACGAGATTGGAAACAGGCATGATGCAATGAACAACAGGCTGGAAAAATCAGAGGAATGAATTAGTGACCTAGAAGACAAAATAATGGAAAATAATGAGGCTGAACAAGAGACAGAAAGAAGAATTATACAACATGAGAATAGACTTAGGGAATCAGTGACTCTATTAAATGTAGTAATATTCATATTATTGGAGTCCCAGAAGAAGAAGAGAAAGAAAATGGAGCAGAAAATTTATTTCAAGAAATAATAGTGGAAAACTTCCCTAATCTGGGGAAGGAAACAGTCATCCAGATCCAGGAGGCACAGAGAGCTCCCATGAAAATAACAAAAGCAGGCCAACACCAAGACATATTGTAATTACATTTGCAAAATATAGTGATGAAAAAATATTAAAAGCAGCAAGACAAAAGAAGTCCTTAACTTACAAGGGAAAACCCATAAGGCTAGCTGGAGACTTCTCAACAAACTTGGCAAGCCAGAAGGGAGTGGCATGATATATTCAAAGTGGTGAATGGGAAGAATCTGCAGCCAAGAATACTCTATCCAGCAAAGCTATCACCAGAATGTACAAAAAGATAAAGAGTTTCCCAGACAAAAACTAAAGAAGCTCATGACCACTAAACCAGCCCTGCAAGAAATATTAAAGGGGGCTCTTGAGTGTTCAGGAGAGACAAAAAGGGACAAAGATAAGAAAGAATCAGAGGAAATCTCCAGAAACAATGACAAAACAAGTCAATTTTTAAAGTTTGGAGTAATTTATAGATCGTTAGTTTTTAGTTTCTATCGTTCTTTTATTATAACCTTGTTTTCATCATCTCTGGCAGATTCATCTTAATTGTATTTGAATCACTAATGTATATGGCTAGAATAGCCAGTGGATTTTCCAATTTTTACAGCATTAGTAGACTTCAGCAAGTCAATAAAAATGAAAAATATGTCAATATTTATAAGGGACAATCCACAATTTGTGAGTTATTGATTGCAGAAAAACATGCTTTATTTACTGTTCCTTTGTGGTATAGAGCAAAGAGCACTAGATTTGAGATTAAATGACCTGGATATTCTCCTTGGTTCTGACATATTCAGCTACATGATACTGGGTTAGCCAAGACTGTGCTGTTGTCTCCTTTGTAAAAATATGGATAGTGGTACCTATATTCCAGTTATCTATTGTTTTATAACAAAACTTACCACACGGTGGTTAGTGTTGAAACAACAATCACCATTCATTCTGTTCATGAAGCTTGAGCATGGCTTTGTGTGGACAACTCATCTCTCACTACATGTGCCTTCAGCTGGGATGGCTCAAGGCTGGAGGTGACTTGAAGGCTGGAGGCCACAATCATCTGAAGCCACCTCACTTACTCGCAGATCTGGTGGCTGCTTGGTTCTCCCGGGGTCCTAGTCTGAATACCTGCAGGTGCTCTATCCTTGTGACACTCTGATTCCTCACAGCGTAGTGGCTTGGTTGAAAGCGAACATCTTAAGGGTACAAAGAGAAATATATGGCGTTTTAATGACCTTGACTCAAAGTCATATAGCATCACTTCTGCCTTCATTGAATTCATGTGAGGATCAAACATGAATAATGTCTGTGAAAGTGACTACTAGTGTGAATTACTCAGTATGATTTGTTTGTTCTTTCTTCATGATCACTTTAGACAGTTATTAGCATTGTGTGGAATATATGATACACTTTAAAACCACCCAGGGGTGCCTGGGTGGCTCAGATGGTTAAGCGTCTGCCTTCGACTCAGGTCATGATCCCAGGGTCCTGGGATGGAGCCCCACGTCCGGCTCCTGGCTCAGCGGGGAGCCTGCTTCTCCCTCTGCCTCTCCCCCTGCTCATGCTCTCTCTCTCTCTCTGTATCTCTGTGTCTTGAATGAATAAATAAAATCTTTTAAAAAAATTAAAAAATAAAAATAAAATACGGTACACAAATCTGAAAATCATTATTTTTCCATCTCTTTACTTATAAGACTCTTAATTGGGCAGAAAAAAATGGGAAAAAATAAGTATGAATATAATTATATGTTATATAATGGTTTCAATTTTCCTGGTTTATATGGATTGGAATAATGATAACATGCCCACAAACCTTTCGCAGGTGGTATAAGCCCTTTATATGCCATTCTTTATCTGTTAGCCAGAAATTTCTCATTAGTCCCTCTGAAATTTATTCCCACCACTAATTCCCTTTTTCAGATGCTTTGTCTATACCTCACCATATGAATCAATTGTGATAATCCAATCATAATACAATAGGTTGTAATAATATTCCTGTGTATATAATAAATATGTTATTCTACCATCAAATATAAATTCCAAATATAGGTAATCAACATTAGTGGGAAGGAGAAAAAATTGAATTAATTTTTAGGCTTGTACCCATATTAAAATTTAATATCAGGGGCGCCTGGGTGGCTCAGTCATTAAGCATCTGCCTTCGGCTCAGGCCATGGCCCCGGGGTCCTGGGATCGAGTTCCGCATCGGGCTCCCTGCTCAGCGGGAAGCCTGCTTCTCCCTCTCCCTCTGCCTGCTTGTGTTCCCCCTCTTGCTGTGTCTCTCTCTTTGTCAAATAAAATCTTTAAAAAAATTTAATTTCATCTGGAACTGTAAGTCGCAGTCAAGTTCTAACCTCTGTGTTTTATTTCTTGAAGGATTTAACTTTTTAGTAGTTACAGACTTCTCTCACACCCACTCACAGTGTTACTTCCCTGACATAATGTGGCAGAACCATATGAAGCTGTTCCTTCCTACATGTAAACTCCCCGAGGTGCCAGTTTTAATGATACACATGTGTATCTCTACACTCCCACTCAGACACTCACACACACATTATATTTGACTCCCTGGGAATAAATTAACAATCCCTATAGTAAGTAAATTCTCCAATTCACTGGGACTTCAATATATAAACCATAGTTAGGCCAGAAAATAAGGGGGAAAGGAGACCTCTGATTCCACTTTGTGTCCTCACTATTCTCTTTAATAAACCGTCCCATGGGTGTTATGTGTCCATGAATCAACATCAGCATGCAGTCCAGACGAAGCAATCACAAAGCCTTTTTTTCTATCACCAGAGAATGTTTCCCAAGGATATAGTATACACTGTTGCAATAAATCTGTCTAACTTTTTAAAACTTCCTCCTGGAATCTCAGCATGTGGATGGGCCAGAGTTGAGAACATGTGAATGTAATTTTTTCTGTTCCCAGCTAATGGGAAAATTCTCTTGACTAGAGCACAGGATTCAGCCAAGAGAACTCAGGGGATCCTTTCCACCATTGTCACTGGTGAGAACCTCCTTATCAAAAACAGTAAACTTTATTATATTATTTGCATTCTGAGTGCTGATCAGTTTTATGAAAAATAATTATCCAGTATCTACAAGTTCCTCATGTATTGAGGATTTATATATCTTTGATCTCTTAGATAAAGACTTCCTAGGTAGAAAAGGTGAGGTGAGGAGGGGAATCTGATCCTCTGACAGAGCGAGGCATACCTAGACATTTAGGGGGAGGAACTTGGGCAATGTGAGATCTTAAGTAAAGATGAGGTAGAATATTTTACCATTTAGAACCAGTTCTCAAATTAAACTGCAGATGGCACCTGTATCCCTTAGAAAGTGTTTGTTCCATGTCATTTAAGCAGAGCTTTAATACTCCCCCCTCAATTTTATTTCTTAGTTCATTTTCTATAGAAG